GCAGCAATAAAGTTTTAAGGCTCTTGAAACAGAAGAAGCTTTGTGTTGCTATCTTTGACAAACAGTTGCTGAAGCCACACGCCGTCAGTTATCACATTGGACTTGCCGCGCTTTCTTCGGGTGCTCATTGTGGTTGTTTGAACATCTGTGACGTTCTGAGTAAGGAACTAAATTACAAGTCGGTTTCTTCTTTAGGATTTTTAAAATCCGTTACAACAACGACTACGTTTGCAACGGTAGTAGAACTTTTGAAGCGCTCCCTCGCCCCGGTAAAGGTGACAGCAACTGTCAAGTTAGCAGTAAATTGTCTTCCTGTCGAACTCAAAAGCTGTGCCTATCAGGATCCTAGTGTCTTGAGTCTCGAAAAAGATATGCTTCATAATAAATGATTATGTATAGGAAAATGCATGTATTGCGCGTTTTGGACGTGAACAAACCACCTGCCAGCTTCTGTAAAACTTAGAATGAATGTTCTGAATGTCAGGTAACGTCGTTTAAGTCTTTGCTGACATAGCTGGTATTTGTGTACAAGTGTCCTATAACATTACACATCGTTCCGCAAAGCGATAACACTAACTGAAGTATCAGTATACACCGTAATTGTCAAATTAATATGTTACACAGTACATCCATAAAAATTCTGCCTTACATCAAGCACTCGAAAAGACATTTTAAATCCACTTCTGCATAGCCGTTAAAATTCATAAAACTATCTACACAGTGTTTAAGGGATGCGTATAGGTGAAGACAATCTTCCTCAGCAAGGACAGCTGCTGAAAGAGTTTAAATTTAAAAAACTGATCGATGCCGTTTGCCCCTGACTTACCGCGGTCTTTTTCGGAAAGTTTAGAGGTTGCCGCCGAAACGTCGAAAATATGCTGCAAGTAGCGTAGCTGCAAGTACAGTGCTTGCTGGGAATACTAAATTCCGAGGACCAATCATAATTAAGCAAATATGACTAACAGAGCAAGCATTCTGTACCTCTAGAATCAAAGTACCCTGTTCACATTTCGGACAGTGCGGTCGACCTTTGAAGTCGAAACGAACCGGCAGTGTTCGACAGCGATAGTTGCAAGCGATTTCGTCACAAGAAAGCCATCCCTAAAAGCGCAGCCATACAGTGCAGTGAGTGGTAGATACAAACAAAGTTTTTATAACTCATGTGGCATAGGATACGATTCAGGGAGATGAATAGCCGAACTAAAATTTGTCATATGCAGCAAAAGCTGTGCCTTTTAGATTAGATTTCTAGGGGGTCTATGCGCTGATTAGTTATGAAATTATGAACACTTCAGTGAACTTAACTATTTTAAATTATCTGTTAACCAGTTTAACATGCATTCACCGGTGCATGATCGCTGTCCAGTTCATAACAAGACTGACAATGATCTTACATCTTATAATGGTAAGTCACGTGTGAGATAGGTATAACCACCTATATCCCGCCCTTGCTTGAATGACGGTCCTTCACTGCTATTGTCTTTGTTACTTGTCTTCCACGAAAATCAAAATATGCTTGTGAAATTCAGCACTTAGGGTATACTGTTAAAACAGGAATACAAAATAACTATAATATAGGTGGAGCAAGAATTTATGAGACCCATCATGGCGTGGCAGTCAAGTCGACTTGATCACATAGGTGTTCCTTTGCCTGTTCATCTTGCTACGTGCTTTCTGAGATATAACGTTTTTTCAGAATTTATCATTTTCTCCAACGGGTTTCTTCTGAACTTGTTCGCCTAGGTGCAGTTGGATCACAGATGCTTCATGATGCTGTGCACTTGGCTTAGGGAAGCCGAAAAACAGTATGCATGACTTGGGAGAGCATATGATAGGGGTTCATGCGTAGCTCAACTTCCTGTAGGTTTGGCAGCTATTCGTACCGCATTTAATGGGCGGAGCTCGTTAAACAGTTAAAAATCAGTCAGACCTGTTCGATTTGTGATAGAAATCTGAAACTTATATCACATTCTGAAGGTTAAAATACCATCGGAGACTTAGCGATGCGTTCAGCAGGATTTGTATTCAGAACTTTAATTTCTTATACATTCTTAAAGGCAAGAAGAGGTGAATCCCTCTGTTAAAAATGCCTAATTAGTCGCGTTTCGAGTTCATGGATATTCTAAACAGCTAGTAAACTACGATATCCCATATTTTGCGCATTTTGGTCGTGCCCATTCTCCACGACGTGCTGGCAAGACTAGCTTTGCGAAGAAAGTTGAGTAATTATCAAATATAATGGCCTTTGGTCAGTGAAAACTATTTAACAAACAAAAACAAAACCGCGTTGAACGTAAACATCAAACGACAGCAAGAAACATGACGCAACCTACGCACCTCATAGTATAGATTGACAAATTCCCGGATTATCTGTGAAAGCCTGTTGACGAGAATAGGCTCCATATGTAGGGGAGATATTTCGCATTCTTCATTCGCACATCTTTGCAGCGTTAAAGCGACAATGCCATTCTAAATGGTTAGCAATCATTTAGATTATGCATACGCGACCGCAGTAAATTGCCTTTGGAGAGAACACACTTGAAACGACGTTCACTGTGTTGCAAGAAGGCGCGACACACCGAAAAGTGAATGGCTGACAGTTTGTGAAGTCTGGATCGAGGCTTAAGTTAGTATTTTCACTTCCAGTGGCTGGCTTACGATAGCTGCTGGACTGAATTCCTTAAAGAAAGCATGCGAAGCTTAGACTACATAATTTGTTAAAATCTTACCTTTTTTAACTCTTTTAAGATAATTTTTAAAATCTTGTTTCAAATGCAATAAAGTTATGAGGCAGTTTAACTAGTCAAGAGAAAGAAACCAGATTTTGTGTATTTTATTGAATTATGGTTCGCTTCGTTCCGGATAATTGGTCTTCGACATTCTTTCATAGAAACTGGCAACGGATTTTTATGGCAAGCATGGTTGAATATATTCCCGAACTACATTGAAAACTAAAATCGAACATCCCATGAACCCAGTGCTAAAACTTCGAACATCCCATGAACCCAGTGCTAACGAACCTCTGGTAATTGGTGACGAACTGCCACTCCTGTCTAGACAAAGGATTTTCTAGTTACGAACCCTAACGCAAGAATTGTAAACCAACTTTCATATTAAGCGTAACATGTCATCTACTACCAACTGTTTGAATGTAGGATGGAGACTCAACGTGCAGTAGCGTTGATAAAAATCTATCTTGTTCACGTCGCAGAGGCAGGAGAGTCAAATACATAAAGGATCGAAAACCAATATGAATTATAGAGGATATTTCTCTTAGTCGCTAGAATTGTAGTTAGAGCTTTACACGAGCCATTAGAAAGAAAACGGTAAGACACTTTCATCATTTCAAAAAATTTACTCTATCGCTGAACTGATTTCAGATGCAAAAGAAGCCATTTAACCAAATGAGAGTTCTAGGTATTTTAGCACGGTGATGCATTTCACTTTAATTTATTGGAGATAAATGCATTGCTAAGTATCAGTTATGTTTTAGGGTCATTTATGCATTATATGTTTTACCAGGAACATGAAAAATTAGGGTAGAATCGGGAAATATGTTAATAAGCGTGATTCCACCCACAACGTTTACATACGTTTAAGCAATGGAGAAAGTATGAAAACTCGTTAATTAGCAAATTTCTGACCTCAAAATGATATCCTGTCAAAGCAGAGAACAATGTTATATAACTAGTGTTGTCGTCTGTCTGGAAGGAGGATAACATTAGTAAATAATTATAACAGACACTGTTTAAGGCAACAAGTGTCAACTTAGCTATCTATCATATTCACTAATACGGAACCATCTATAACAGTTCTTACCCAAACATTCAGCAATCCTTACGGCGTCTGTCTCGTCGATAGGATCGCACAGTCGAGATACTACCGGGTGAATTTGCTGACTTAAGTAATAAATGACATCTATAAACAATTATTTAAATCGAACAAGGTTGAGTACACTGAAAAAGTACCAATTTTCAACTTCGGATTATCGTCGAACTCGCTACGATAGTACGCTCTCTGCGTGGCAGGGTTATTCGTCGAATCCTACGCAAATGAGAAATTTACTACAAGTTTTCTCATCATATGCTTGGTTTCTGCGTAACCGTGCTCTATGAATATATTTAAACAACGTGATTGTAGTAGTCGGGATAGAGGATGCGTGAAAGGTCTCCGTCCTAACGGATTTCTGTAAACTATTACCTCTTTATGACGGGTATAAGTCGATCTAGTTATATTACAGACAGATAACTATTTGTGATATCGTGTGTAACAGCAAACATTTGCAGCAAGCCTTTTACACCTTAGATATGCATTGTTTCGTGCAGTTGCATTTAATGATGTTCTGACCACAGCCAGAAGTTGTGACTGTACACTGTTCGCCGGACGCCAAGTAATTTCACTTTCCTTAGAAACATCCTCGACCGTGAGGAATGTTTCTATGCACCGTTCAATCTGACTACTGAACTTTTGATGACTAGCTCCTGTCGTCGTTTCAACCTGAAAAGAATCCTTCTCTCTTCTGCGAAAACCAACGTGCCTTTGAATAATGGTACGATGATTCTAACAGTCTTAACCACTCCCATCAAATTTATTCCTCTGCTTGACGTAGAATATTTTTCCCAGTCGAGAGAATTTTTTAGCGTTTTCCCGCGTAACAGCAAATACTGTGCTTCCATGCCAAAGTTGCAAAGATTCTCCATGGTCACTGCGTATTTTAGGTCTACATGGTTTTAAATCAGACCTAACTTGCGTTGAAACATGTTGGACGACAGCTTGTATGTACCTGATTAGGGGATTACATTACAATGCGTCTACCACCAGTGTAAACAAAGTTTCCAGGTTTGTTGCCACTTTCCGCAGGTACCTAAAATAGTGAGCAGTTCTTCCGCCTCACCATGGATGCTACATACTCCTAATCAACCGTGGTGTGCTGCATGATAGAGTATACAGGAATTCTTTGAGGATTTTTAGCCTGAAAGCAATTACCTCGCAGATGATGTACTTCACTATATCACCAGCCTGAAAATGATGTCCTCTGCTGTTCATGCGTAATGCGACTACAACGTGAGGTTGAGATTTAGAGTCGGCATAATCCTGTGGCCGTCTAGTCAGTTGCTAAATAATGAAAATGAGATGATGTTACTACACAATTTAAACACCTGTACCTTGTAGATCTCATATTTTTCCAGCGGCAATCTATTTTCTTTAATGTCGACTGCTAGTTGAGTCAGATACGCATGAATTTTGTTCACGATATCGTCCAAAGGTTGTTCACTCATTATTAGATCCAAAACGTAGCTAAATTCAAGATTTAGTTTAATCATTTTACTGCCGGCGTGCATATTTGCAACGAATAAATTTAAAACATGAGCAATGTCAAAGAATTGCGGATGCTGTCCGGTCCTCTTGAAATCAGACCGACTGAAGCGAAAACTTGACGCACGTTTACTTGAGTATTGTCTGGTCAGCAAACTTTCATAGGGGAAGGTTTTCAATGCCATTTTTGCAACTTATGTCTCCCACTGTTTCATTCAAGATTGAAACTTTCTATTCAGACCGCTAAAATGCTTCGGTAAGAACTGCATGGGCATAGCATATAAATATTACGGTAGATAACGAATCTTTATCAGCACGCATGTCAGCAAGAAAAGGGCCATTTAAATACGGGATTCCATGTGACATGGCACTTACGCTAGCGACCTCCTATGAGTAAACTGAATGAAGTTCATTTATATAAGAAATATTGCCGCGGCAACCAAACACTAACATGCAGAAGTTGAACAGCATACTCGCGCTTGGCCTAGCAA